TGGTCCCAAGCCCGCAGGTTCAACTACTCGGTCCCTCTGGGTAGTTGGCTGTGACCAAGCAGTGACCACAACCTTGCCCCTTGTGGATGACCAAATTTTAAGACTGTAGGAAACAGAAGCCCAGCAGTGAGTGCTGGGTTAGGCCAGATCGCTTTTAATGATCTTGGAAGTAAGATTCTAAAAATCCTTAATGGTATCTCCTTTACCAGCAATAGCATTGAAAATTAGGTGTCATGAGGGACTATTGAAAGGAATTCCTTTTCAGGACACTTTACCGTAGTATTAGAGAACCTACTTCAATCTGAAGTCAGCAGCAGCCATTTTAGCATTATCTATTTGCAGGGTGCATCGAGTGTTTTGCAGTTGAGCTTCCTTAATCTAGAAAATACATAATGAAGAATGACATTTTCAATGGATAGTTTAGAATTACTGAATTATTGTCAGACACAACCACTATTACTCTATCAGGGATGATAAGTCACTTCAGGAGTTTCCACATGAAAATAGAATGGAAAACTAATGATACGGGTATTTAACATAACAGAGTCCCTCTGGTGGCGTAGTGCCTAAGGCATTTGACTGCTAATCAGAGGGCTGGTGGTTCAAACCCACCAGCCACTCTTTGGAAGGAAGGTTGGGCAATCTACTTCCATAGTGATACTGCCTCTGAAACCCAAGGAGGGGTCGCTATGAGTTGGATCCGACTCCACAGCATGGTTGCTTTGTGTTTACAATACAACTCCACATCCCCAGGATTTTGTGAGCTTCGTAGTGATATTACAAAATGAGAATTTCATTCAAGTTGAATCAACACATTTTTATTGATTTTTTTTTTTTTTTGCTTTGATGTTCTCTCTGCTTAGAAAAATCCTCTTAGCCTCTTTTCACCTGGTGAACTCTGACTGAGCTTAGACATCACTGCTTCCAGGAAATCTTCTCCAGTGTCCTCAGAGCTGAACCGAATGCCCTCCCTGTGCTCTTGTTGCCCTCCACAGCCCTCCTTGCTAACTTTATCCTTGTGTATGGCTATTGCCTTTGCTCTCGCCCAGTGCCTCTTAAATCATGTTCATCATCATATTACACAGCATACAGCACTGTGTAATGATGAGCAGCTCTTAGTTAGTGTCCAGTAAGTATTTGCTGGTTGAATGAACGCTTGTTATATCATAGGAGTTATATTAATGTTGTTGTTATTTGCTCTAGAGTTGGACCCGACTCATAGCGATCCCTCCTTGGGTTTCCGAGGAGGTATCACTATGGAAGTAGATTGCCCAATCTTCCTTCCAATGAGTGGTGAGTATCAAGACAGATAAGCCCCTGATCATAAGAAGCAGTTAGCTAATGGGTGAGTTCTCTTAGATGCATATAGATAAGAAATCTACTTGTAGAAGATA